AGTCTGTACTCCAGGATAAAGTCTAGGTATCTGCTTTTATAGCCGTCTTCGATCATTCCAGAGCTGTCCAGGGGCTGGTACCACCCACGGTGGTAAACACTACTCTTCATACACCGTGGCTTCGTCTACCCCGAGACCAGAAGAACTAGATAGTGCCCCGCTACCACTACCAACGATTGTGACCAGGGCCACGACAGGTGGAGTCTGATAGATTGTAAGGAAACAGAACACCAGTTCTCAAAAGTCCAGATTTCCCAGGCCATTTGAGACAAGAGGATTCCCCAAGACTGTCACTCTGAGCTGCTCTAAATCTTAACCAAAATTACCCCTGGGGAATGTGTGTATCACCTTTTAGCTAAATAACAGGCAAGTACATAAAATAGAGAATATCGCTTATACATACTAAGCTCTTTTAAGAATCACCTATAGGAAACCAAGTGGCCCCAAATATCCCGAGGCAAAGATGAGCAGGTAAGGAGGCAAGGAAACCAGAGTACTGGAGCTGGAGCCAGCAGAGGAAGGAATGAGAATGAGGACCCACTGTAGACAGTGGGACCAAGACCCCTGGGCTATCTGTGCAGAGACGGCTCAGGGGGAACCTGAGTTCGCTGTGTAAACTTCCACCGCACACACAATACGATACCACTTCTAGGTATAAATGCAGAATGGTCTCTCTCTGCCAAGAGGTTGGGGGCAAGATGGTGAGGACTCCACTCTCCAGGGCCAGGGTTTGAGTCCTGGCGCCTTCGAGCTGTGTGGACTCTGGGAAAGCTCCCTCACCTCCCCATGCCTCAATTTCCTCCGCTGTGAAATGGGGAGAAAAGAAAACCCTAGCACGCGGGACTGCTGTACGGATTAGACTGTGCTCGGCCCACTCCAATGCTCAATAAAAAATTCATTTTTGATGGCTTAAGAAAAGACAAACATGCAAAATCTCACTCAAAAGGAGAAACTTAAAAAATCCAAACTCACTGCCGATTCTCAACTCACAATGACCCTGTAGGACAGAGGAGACCAGCCCCGGTGGGTTTCCAAGACTGGGAATCTTTATAGAAGTAGAAAGCCTCGTGTTCCTGAGGAGCGGCTGGCGGGATCAGACTTCTAGCTCTGCAGTTACACAGCCCAATGTATCACCCACGACGCCACCAAGACCCCTTAACAGGGCAAAACTCACAGATGCTACCCGACCAAGTAAGGGTGGTCCGGTGCCGATAAAGCTCTATGCACAGAGAACAGGCGGCGGCAGACCATGTTTCCTACACGGGCCTTCTTTTGCTGACCCTTGAGTTAGACGTGAGAGCTGAGGAGGAGCCACGGCCCAGGTGACTGCCCCACAGTGCACAGTGGTTGTTGCCCAAGTGGGTGGGGGAGCTTGTGGACAAGGTCAGCCCTGGCTTCCCAGACTGATCAGGCCGTCCACATCCTTCTGTAGAGTCAGCCGCTTTTCTCAGCCCACTTGGATCAGAACCAAGGAGTGTGCAGGCGTCAGAGAGGAAGTGGATGAAGATGACCGTGCTGGCCAGGAGGACCTGCAATGGCCAGCAGACGGCTGTCTTGCCTACAGGTCCACAGCACCTGGTGGCACCACACTGCCAGGGTCACCTTCCACACCCATGAGATTGAGCCGAGGTGCCGTGGGGCCAGGCAGTGGGGTGAGTCCCATATTCAGGTGGGGGAAGGGCACCCCTTTGGGGCGCTGACTGGGTGGGGAGGGACAGGCTTTCTCTGTTGCAGGGAGAGAGGCCACAGGGTCACTCAAGCCTGGCTGGCTGGGGCCCATGTTCATCCTCCCTCAGGCCAAGCATGCAGTGGCTCCCCTCACCCTGCTGCCCCTCCTCTCTAGGGGCCCTGGACTGAGGGTTAAGGCTGCCTCCGCCCAGACCTCAGAGAAGGAGACCCGAGGGAGCCATGGTATCTGCATGGACCGAGAAGGGCACATCCCTAGACCCCACTACATTCCCCATCCCCCTGTGGTAGGGGTGGGCATCAAAAGGAGAGCTAGAAGGGATCTTCTTGGTGAGAAATCCCACCAGCAGGGACCTGGCTCACACCAGGGCAGTCAGTCCCCTGGACCTGGAGTCTGTCTCTGTGCCAGAAAGGCCACCCTGAGTCCAGGTATGCTTGGGTGGTGATCCTTCCAATGCGAGTGAGCACCCAGTTCCCCTCCAGCCACCACTGAGACCACTCCCGGTCCGTGACACACAGGTGACTCAGGAAGTGGGCCCTGGAGGAAGGTTTTGTGCTTCCTGCCTCACCTTGCTCAGAGGCTCCAGACTGGCACCCAGAGCCAGGGTGCCAAGCACAGGGGACGGAGGAGGACCCAGTCAAACTCAAGGCCAACATTGAAGGATGTGTCCTCCCCAACCCTGGAACCCTGGTCTCACATTGGGGCCTCTCTGCTCACCCCCAGGCTCCACTCAGTGCAGGGTCAGAACCCTCTGGCTGGTGAACACCATCCTGAGGTAAGCCCATCAGCTGCTGCTGCCCGGGTCGGAACCCACCACGGCCGGATTCAGAAAGGAAGGGGACAGGGCTGGCGCTAAGGAACTTGGGCACCGTGGGTGGGTCTCAGGCAGGGAGGGCTGTGTGAAGTGGCTTCTATATACATTTTTCACGCTAACATTTCGTTTTTGGCCAACAGAGACCCTGCCCAAGCTGCTCCCAATCCAATCACTGTCACCATCTTCAACTGGCTCTATGTTCTTACCTGTTATTTCAGGCAGGACAGTGGCCTGAGCAGGGCCCCATCACATGGGTCTGGGATGGGGGATCCTGGCACAGTGTCCGCTCCCCGGGGTGGCACAGCCTATACCCATGATCCCTAGCACCTTGAGTACTGAACTCACTGCCATCGAGGACATGTTGCTGCACAGAGACCCTGAAGGACAGGTAGACCTGCTCATGTGGGGTTCTGAGATGGTATCTCTCTTTGGGAGTAGAAAGCCTCATCTTTCTCTCACAGAGCCATAGGTGCTTTTGAACTGCTGGCCTTGTGGTTAGCTGCCCAAGCCTCACCTTTTTCCTGCAGAGTTAGGGTAAGTAGTTTAAAACTGCTGGCCTTTCTTTCAGTTAGCAGCCCCACATGGAACCTGGGCCAGGCCGCTATGGCAGGGAGCAGACTCATTTCTGCTCGGTCTCTTCGTGGCCTTGCCCCGTGCCCTGCACACGGCAGGTTCTCAGAAAATGCCAAACGTCTGTGGACCCAGCGGGAAGGAGTTCTCAGGCCTGAGGCAGTGGACACAAGGGCTTCAGGGACGACGCTTACAAGCTTAGGTGGCGGGAGGTCAGGCAGGCTCTTCTGGGGGGCTGTGGAGTGCTGACTGGGCTCCCCATTGGTGAGCAGGCTCTGCGTCTCGGGCTCTGCAGACAGGAAGCAGGAGAAGAGATGCGGTGAGGGGGGCTGGCTCTCCGGGAATGTCTGCTCACCTGCACGGTGGCTTCTACGTGAGCAGGTGCTAATTACCCAGGCAGCACCTGGAGATGCTGTTTTTCCTCCAGAAATAGGGTGCAGCAGCACCTGTGCCCCGGAAGGAACTTGTTTGGGGTTGCTGACATGTTTCCTCGCCCCCATCCACCCCTCGTCAAAAATGGCCCAGCCACAGGGCTCCGGTCCTCCGAGGAGCTTCCCGCCGCCCTGTGGCCACTATATTGAGCCGCTGTCGGCAGCTACCCTGTGATTATGGCTCTGTCCAGCCCACAGTTTGCCCAAGGGGCGGGAAGGCCAGCTCTCCCGTGGATGAGTTCTGCAGAATCATGGTCTGGCCGTGGGGCACCCGTCATCTGTGTGCTCTTTTGAGCCTGGGACAGTCAGGCTCAGGCAGGGCTCCTGGGTGGCTTTGGGGCCTGAGGTCTCCAAGCCCCTACGGGGCACAGGCAAGCGCCCCACACCTATCTTGTTAGGGCTGAGCACTCGGGGTACTTGCTGAGTTCTCACTGCCCACTAAGTCTGGACATTTGAGTTCCAAGTTTGGGAGCTATTGACGCGAGTTCTCATCCCGCCTCCTCCTCGGAGCCGAGCAGAAGGCAAGGCACCCTGGGAGACATACTTAATGGCTTAAGTAGAAGCTGGGGTGCTCTGCCCACGAGACCACCTTTGAACATGACCTCTGAGAGTGAAGGCAGTCCCCGACACCACCCTTCTGCCCCCAGTCAAAGCCCCTGAGGGCACCAGACAACAGTGGCTTGGCTAGAACATCTGGATCATGACTTCCTATTCGGGACCGTGCTGGGAAAAGCTAAGAAGGTTCTAGGGGCAGATTCCTCCTCCATGAAACGTCCCAAAATACATCATCCCAAAATACCATCCACCAAAATATGGCTTCCAAAAACAACTCCACCAGGCCCTGCCCGTCTGTGCCCTGCCTGGAAGGGGGAGAGTGGGGCAGCACCAGGCCTTGTCCGTTCCTCATCCGGGATGGCCACCCCACCCGCAGGCCCAGCCCCTACCTTTGTCCTGGGATTTGGCATCCGGTTGCTTGTTGACCGTCACTTTGTTCATGTAAATGTACTCCTCATCAGCACCTGTGTGAGGAAGGCCACAGACGTGGGTGGCATGGGGCTCCGAGGGGTAGGGCCTCTAGGAGACACAGGGTTCCCCCTGAAGCCTAATGAGAGCCCAGTGCATGTGGATCTAAAGAGTCGATAACAGAGAGAAGTGACAGCTCTTTTTAAAAGCCAAGTTGCTGGGTGCGGTGGGGAGCGGAGCTGATACCAAGGGCTCAATAGAAAGTAAATGTCTAGAAAATAATGATGGCTACATATGTACAAATATGCCTGATACAATTGATGCCTGGATTGCTATAAGAGCTGTAAGAGCCCCCAATAAAATGATCTTTTAATTAAAAAAAGAGAGAGAAAGAGATTAAAGGTAGATGCTATGCAGAAAAGAAAAAAAAGCCAAGTTGCTGGCTGCTGGTTTTCTGGCCCAGGGACAAGGCGGGGGTACAAGACAGCTTCAGGAATTACATCTTGAGTAGAAAGTAAAATTCTGCCTCATGGTTTACCGCAGCGGTTCTCAACCTGTGGGTCACGACCCCTTTGGGGGTCAAACGACCCTTTCACAGGGGTTGCCCGATTCGTAGCAGTAGCAAAATGACAGTGATGAGGTAGTAACGAAAATAATTTTATGGTTGGGGGTCACCACCACATGAACTGTGTGATAGGGTCACAGCATTAGGAAGGTTGAGAACCACTGGTTTATTGAGGGCTGTCTCCTGGTTTTCCCAGCATTTCGTTTCAATGGATAATTACGCCCCCCCTCAATTAGTCATTCTTACCCTAGTTTGAATTACTTGAGTGAGTTAATGAAATCTGAGAGATGTCTAGAGATAAAAGAGCTCACAAGGACCCAGAAGTAGCTCCCTTGGGACTCTCTGCAGGGTGCTCTAGGGAGGGCCTGAGACAGCCAAGTCATAGGAGCTCTGAGTCTGGAGGGGTGCACGCCCTGAGAATGGGTCTTGGTTGCCACCAACTGCCTGCACACAGCCCTGCCCTGGAGCATACTTCTGAGCATGCTGGGTCACCTTCCCAGGGCCTGTCTGGCGGAGAGAGGCTGGTCTCCCAAGGCTTGCTCTGCCTTGAATCCCCCAAGGAACCCTCCCTTCTGACTCCTTGAGAAGCAGCTTGCCCCATAGTTTCCACTTTTAGAAACCCTCCCGTATTTCTCTCCCGGCCCTTACTTTTCATTTCCTACAAACTCCTGGCTGAGAAATTCTAGCGGTTAGAGCCCTGAGCCAAAGGCCCCGATTCAACCCCCCTGGCGAAAGAGGCTGTGCTGCACCAGTCTGCTCATGGCAGCCACCCGGACTCCAGCCAGCAGGCCTGCCCTCGTGGGTCCCCAAGGACAGAGAGAGAGGAGCATGTGTCTCAAGCCCGTTGCCAATGAGCCGATGGCGATCCCAGGGGTCCCAGTGTGGGACTAAACTCTACAGGGTTTTCTTGGCTGTCATTCCTAAGGAAACGGATCATTAGGTCAACCATCGCTGGGTGGGTTCGAACTGCTAGCTTCCTGACAAGCTGGGTGAGCCTCAGTCTGTTTGACACCAAGTCAGTCCTACTGGGCTGGGGGGTGAGGTGGGGGTGGCAGCCGGACCACCCCAACCCTGGGGCTGGAAGAGAGGACCATGAAGTTCAGACAAGGAGGCTTGGTGAGCCATACTTCAGGAATAAGGACACTCAAGGTGTAAGATATGAAAACAATAATCATTTATAATTTATCAAGGGGTCACGAGGGTGGGAGAAAGAGGGAAAAAGAGGAGCTCATACCAAGAGCTCAAGTAGAAAGTAAATGCTTAGAAAATGATGATGGCAACATCTGTCCAATGTGGATTGTGATAAGAGCTGCAAGCGCCCCCAATAAAATGATTTAAAAAGAAAGAAATCACTCTGGAGCAGCTCCACCCTGGACCACGTGAGTGGCCAGGGGATCCACCTGATGGCACCTGCTTTGGTTTGGGTTTTTCGTGGAAGGCAAACCTGAGCCCGATCGTCACCCAGCAGTGTGAAAGGACGGGAGGCCATGGGTGCTGTTGGAAAGGGGAACATGGGATGTCTGAGGACCTGACCTGCTCCACAGAGAGGGTCCACCCCCCAACCCACCCACACACCGCAGAGAACTGGGGTGGGGTGGAAGAGAAAGGCCTGGCCCCTTTGAAAGGGAAACCACTGGATTAAGAGTGCAGCCTTTGAAGCTCTTGCTGTCTGCCGGCAGCCAGCCCCCTAAACCTCCCCAGAGCCCCGGAAGCCAGGGCACATGCTGGTGTGGGCCTAGGAGCACAGCAGGGAGCCACGCCCTCCAAGAACAGAGCTGGGCCTGTTCCTTAACCGCACCGTCCAGGCAGAATGCAGAGCAAGAGGCCTGGACACCCCACGCTTATCATAAGAAACAGCAAGGCCCGAGAGCCAATGGACACACACGCTCACTACAACGGAATCTGAGCAGCGGCAGCTCCATTCAGGAGAATCTCAGGCTGGCCCGGAGCCCACAGCCTGCCTGTTCTTACAAGTCCTGCCAGGCTGAGCTGATGTCCTGGAAAACACACATGTGGGGGGTCTGGAGGCCAAGAGGGGCAGGCTACCCTGTAATTTCAGGGAGCCTGGGGATGCTATCCCTGCAACATGGCAACGCACCTGTGCAATCGTGTGGGGAGGCAAGGTGGGGGGCAGTGGTTAAGGCCACCTGCTCAGCCAGGTGTAGCCTTATCTCTCCACGTACTTTCCAAGCCCTGGTCCTCTCCTTGGTGAAATAGGAGAATGACAAGTCCCCATCAACTCCGGATGAGGGTTCAAAGATGTAACCCAGGCCGTGCCATGCCACGCATCAAGCGTAGTACTGAGACTCAGAACGTAGGCTTTGAATGTTGTTTTTATACTCTGACTCATGGCCAGGCTGAAGGACTGGACCAGTGGGTGGCCTGGGTTTTCTTGGCCGCTTTTTTGGAAGTAGGTCACCAGACCTTTCTTCCTAGTCCATCTTCGGGAAGTTCTGCTGAAACCCACTGGGCCTCCACTGAGAGAGGGGTAGGGGCTGTGCTTCAGGCGCCCTGGATGGGAATCGAACATAGGTCTTCGGGCATGAGGATGAGAATTCTACCATCAAACCATGATGGCCCCCACCATAACTGTCTGTCAGATGAAGCAATAGCCACTCTGCCGTCTGCACTGGGCACCGAGAGGGCCATTGATCATATGATGGCTATGGACAATGGCCTTCACTCGTGAGCATAGAAGGTGGCAGCCACACAGGTATCCCTCTGGAGGTAACACACACTGGGAAGTTCCAGACCAGGTCCCAGCAGCCCCCAGTCCTGCAAGCTGCAGAAACAGGGGGCGGCGGCCTGGCTTTAGGAGATCAGGCCATGCAAAGATGGGGGTGGGAATCGGGTCTCCTACAGGAAGCCACGTGGCATATTCAACCAAGGAAGGGCCCAAGGTGGGCGGCTCTGAAAGAGGGGTTGGCACTAAGCACCGTGGGTCAGACCTCAGCACACACGGAGGTGTTTTTCCATTCTCAAGAGAGGCGGGCTTCACAATCCAAAGTTCTTGGTCAGAGCAGGGCAGCCAGCCTACAGGTGAGTCAGCCCTAATTCACCTGTGCTTTGTCATGGGGGTTTCCCACCCACCACTCCCGCCCAGGGCGGTCTTGATGGCGTGTTGGCCGGCGTTGGTCACGCACCCACTACAAAGCCCTGAGGAGCTTGGGAACCTCCAGGCAGCCTGGGGAACTGCAGAGGGGATGACGGAGGGGCCGGGAGAAACACCTCTGATGACTGGCAAGGGCTACTGATGGGGATTGTTTGGGGATGCAGCAGGCGTCTGCAAACAAGTGTCTGTTCTACAGCTGCTACTACTCAGACTCCGCCGAGCCGAGAACCAAGGGGAGAGGAAGAGGCAGCCTGGCAGGTCCCGGCGGGTGGCAAGGAGGGGGTCCTGCCTGTGGAGCTGTGGCAGAGGGAAGTCTTTCCAACTTCCAGGAGGGGCCATGGCTCCTAGTTGCTCTGCCGGGTGGCACGTGGACTCCTGTCCTCGGTTGTCCTTGTCCTCCAACAGCTCTTGTGACAGTACTAAGCAAACCACAAAGTCTGCGGTTCAAACCCACCAGCCACTCCTCGGGAGAAAGACGAGGCTGTTCTGCTTCTCTGAAGACTTAGAGCCTCGGAAAGCCAATCCAGAGTCGCTCTGAGCCTGCAAACAACTTTATGGAGGGTAGCTGGGGAGTGAAGCTGTCTTGACTTCACAAGAATTACCAGCAGGTGGGGTAGGGGTAGGGGAAGGATCCCTATTTGCTAGATGTGATAGACCCAGCAGAATATCTGTCCACAAAGCCCCACCCCCTCGCTCACTCACCCACCATCCAGTCGATTCCAACTCATTCTAACTCACAGGTTAAAACTGCCCCTGGGGGTTTCCCAGACTGTAACTCTTTACAAAAGCCTCCTCTCTCTCCCCACCGAGGAATGGCTGCTGGTTTCGAACTGTTGACCTTGCAGTTAGCAGTCCACCATGTAACCACTACGCCAACAGAGTAAGGTGCTAGCTATTATTCTAATCATCTACTTTTAACCAGGGGATGGGGGGTGGGGGGAGTGAAACCCAGAGAATTTCACAGAGTGGCTGCTGCATTGACTCCAGGCAAGCCCTCCCTCCTTGGGCAGATTCCTGGGACATCCCCAGGCTATGCCCACTTACCGCTGGCTTTGGTGTAGAGGCGCAGGAGTTCAGCCAGGCTGACCTTCTTCACCACCGCGGTGCTGCTCAGGTTCTCCTGGTCCAGGATCTTCAGGAAGTCCTCCAGCTCCGTCAACAGCTGCTCCAGGGCTAGAGACACAGAGCAGGGGTGGCCATTAGAGTGACAGCTCTCTCTCCCCAGCCCACAGTGGACATCAGCACATGGGGGTCACAGCGCCTGGGCTTTGGGGAGATGGAGGCCATTGGCCGCATGCTGGCTAGGGGCACCCAGCCTTCTCTGTGAGTGTCCTTCCTTGGAACTACTGGCCCTCCTGGGGCTCTGCAGGGAAGACAAAAGGGCCAAGGGCCACTGGCAGAACTCCTAGAGCTGGGGCTGCCATCAGCACTGCTATCACCCACATTCTCTTGGGCCTGTTACTGGCCTCTCATCTCTGAAGGGGTAGGGTCAGAGCTCACGTCCTGGACAGCCCCTCTTGCCCTTGAAATTCTGTCATCCCCAGGCTGGTTGTGATCAGTGGCATGACTCCCTAAAACATATATCTGATCCCGGGGCACATGAGATTACAAGCCACTCTTCACAGAGCGGTAGCATGGCCCAGCCATTGCACTCTGAGGTCTCTGCCTGCAAAGAGTTGGCAGCAGGCATGCGAGCAGGACTTGCACATCTAAGCTCACTGAACACTGCTCACAATCCACCAAAGGTGGAAAGAACCAAAATGCCCATCAGCAGGCCAATGGGTAAACAGGTGGTATATGAATTACCCAGCTCTGGGGAGAACTCCGTCCCTGCATGTCCCAAAGGGTCAAGCACTGGATGACTTAGCCTAAAGGTTGGCAGTTCAAATGCACCCAGAGCTACCTGGTCATCAAGGCCTGGTGTCTGACAGATCTGGGCCTTGGGAACCCTCCGGGCAGCTCTGCTCTCACAGGGCCACCATGAGTTAGAATCCACTTGGTGGTAACTCACACCAGAGGGAGCAGCAGCAAATCAGACATGCAAGAACCTTGAAATCAGGACAAGTCCAACATCAGTCACAAAGGGACGGGTTTTGTACAAGCTCACTCATGGAGTGTCTAGTGTATAGCAGCGGTTCTCAACCTGTGGGTCACAACCCCTTTGGGAGTCGAACGACCCTTTCACAGTGGTCGCCAAAGACCATCAGAAAGCATTATTTCTGATGGTCTTAGGAACCAAGACACCACTCCTTTATCCGTCTCCAGGCGGGTCCCCCCACAGGGGGA